TAGAGCTTGAACTGAGGGACTTATGTTCGTTTTTGGCTTTTTCCTTTAAGACTTGTGCTCTACCACTTGAGCCCCACCTCCAACGTCCAGCTTTTTGCTGGTTAATAGAAGACTAGAGTGGCTCTCAGACTTGTCAGCCAAGGCTGGCTTTGAACCATGATCCTCAAATCTCAACCTCCTTAGTAGCTGGTATTACAGGTGTGAGCCACCAGCACCCAACAATTTTGAAACTTTTTACAAAGCTAAAGTAGTTAAGACAGTGTGCTGTGGGCAGCAAGTAGACAGTTGGCTTGGTGGACTTCACAGGTTTCACAAACTGACCTGCTTATGGCCAGTAGATATCAACAAAGATGCCAAGTTCACACAGTAATTAGAGGTCCATCATCCAATGGCATTGCAGCACTAGGCATCCATATGCAAAGGAAAAACACCTGACCTCCACACCTCACACTATAAAACAAAAACATGCTCTTCAATGAACCATAATCCTAAAGGAGATACCTACAATTACAAAAGACTTCTAATATTCAATATCAAACATGGAATCTATTAGGGAATGATTAGACAAATTAGACTTGAACAAATTTAAGATCTGCTATTCTTTAAAAGACACTGCTGAAAAACGAGCGCAAAGATATTTGCAATTAAAATGAAAAAGGAGCCCACAGGTATCTGCAAATCACTTGTTTGACCAAAGACTTGCATCAAAATGATCATGAAGGAGTCCTAACAGTGAACGGTGAGCTGGGTACCAGCAGTTCACACCTGTCAGCCTAGCTACTCAAGAGGCTGAGATCTCAGTTTTCTTGCATTGTACTGTTTTTTTGTAGTTTTCAGGGAAGATTTAGGTCTCACACATCACTGGCCTTGTTTATTCCTAAGTAGTTCACAGTTTTTGTGTGTGTCGATCCTAGGGCTTCAACTCAGGGCCCGGGCACTGTCCCTGAGTTTTTGTGTTCAAGGCTACCGCTCTACCACTTGAGCCACAGTTTCACTTCTGGTTTTTTGGTGGTTAATTGGAGACAGGAATCTCAAGGATTTCTGCAAAGGCTGGCTTTCAAGTTTGCTCCTCCGATCTCAGCCTCCTGAATAGCTAGGATTACAGGCATGAACAATTGACACCTATCCTAGTTTACATTTTTATGTGATTTTGAATGGCATTAAGAGCTTGGTTTCAATTTCTGATTGTGTGTTGGGATTGAGGTATCTGGGGAGACTGGACATGGCTTGAGATGCCATGGAGGCTCTTGGCTTGAGTGACACTCACGCCATTGCTTATGTTAACCACAGAGACAAAGCACTATTATCACAGAACAACAGCTCTGGCATCTTTTATCATCACTGCTGTAGTACTGAGGATTGGGCATGTGGCAGGCCTGGGGTTCCACCCTACACACACATTCTTACACATGTGCACAGCAGCCTTCCAATGGAATTCATCCCCCCCCCACTCCCATTTAGCAGAGGAAGTGCACATTAGCCATTTTTCCTCCCAGAGTTTGAGTCACTGTGGAAGTCAGGCCCTGAGTTCAGGTGTCTGCTTCTGACTCTAGATAGGAACAGGGCTCCGGGCCTCCTTCTCTCAGGGTTCATGGTAGCCATCTGTCCTGCAACATTCTGTCCTTATTATTCTGATGTCCCTGAACAAAATGAGTACCTGCCCCAGGGCCTCGGATAAAGATGGCTGTGGGTCTCAGAGCATTGTCTGAGACCCCATGAGCCCCTGTAGATAGACAGGCTGGCTTTCTTTTTTCACTTATTTTCATGTAGTTAACAAACTATAGATTGCATCCAGCCTGGGATTTCACAGACAATTAATGCTTAGATGAGATTAATGGTCACAAATTAAAGCATGGCATTAAAAACAAATACGAAGAAACTACTGTACAGGTGACAGAAACAAACCATGAAGATGGTGTGGGAATGAGAACAACTTGGCAAATAATTGAATTAATGACTTCAAGAGGGAAAAGAAGAGAAAAGAGTCTTCATTCTCTTCTCAGGTCCCTATGTAAAACAGTATTTTCTTTTTTTTTCTTTTTTGGGCCTGTCCTGGGGTTTGAACTCAAGGCCTAGGCCTGACCGATTGTGCTCAAGGCTAATGCTCTACCACTTGAGCCCCACATCCGGCATTTGTTAGGGAATTCTTTGGAGATAAGAGTCTCACAAGCTTTCCTGTTCAGGCTGGCTTTGAACTGAGATCCTCAGATCACAGGTGTGAAACATGGGTCCCTAGCTAAGGCAGCTGTTTGTAACTTCCCTCTGTTTATGGCCTGCCCAAAGGAGCAGGATTCACATAGGTTCAAGGCCTGGGCCTTGATCAGCCTCTGCCACTGCCCTACCCAAAGGGAAGGACAGGCCTCATCCCTTCTTCCCCCTGGTGCAGGGCAGAGCAGTGACCACAGAGTTGTGACCACAGAGCTGACCACATAGAGTGTGTGTGCCTGGACACAACTTTTCTTCGTCAGGCCCCCAGCCTGGCACAGGTCAGGCACCTTCTTTCAACACTAGTGGGTGAGGTAACAAATGAACAAGTATTAAGTGTAGCTAAGGTAACATCCTCAGCAATGACGGTGAGAGGTGCTCAGGGCCCAGTCTCGTGGGTGAAGACCACAAGGCTACAAAGTGATACTACACAACACTGAAGACCTGCTCTCTCCCCATGTCCCGTATTTATTGTGATGGATTTCTAGAAAAGGAAAGTCAAGGGGGTTGGACACAGAGGAGGCCTCTATCAGCAAGTCCTTGGATAGAGAGGGCAATGTTCTTCTTGAGCTTCCAGAACCTTGGAGGGAAGACAACCTGATTACCAGGAATGATTGAAGGGACCTCAGGCTGTGTCTTAGACTAGAAGAGAAAAATCGGAACAGAGCAAATACATATTTAAATGTTCCCACGTGTAGGTGCATGCATGCATGCGTGCACACACATACACACACACACACATACACACACACACACACACACACACATACACCCATACCTGGGAATGTGATATGTACTCAAGAACTTACTAAAGCAAAACTGATTTGGGTTCAAAGAGATTAGATTTTATGCTAAACAAATCTCATCCAGGATTTTCATATGAAGACTCCATTCCTCCCCAAATGTGCCCTGCCTGGCTGCATTTCAATGTGGTCAAATTCAATCTCCCTGATCTCTGCAGCTCCCATGGCTGGCTGAGGACTGGCTCCCTGGCTGTTTGGTGGGGCTTGGGAGAAGACAGCTGCTGGCATTACCAGGGGACTGAGCTGCTCTCTTGTAACCTGGGGAGTGGAAGGTGGGGCAGGGCTGGAAGCTGTGGAGTCCCAGAAGATGGCTAAAGGGATCCAGGAGGCTCTGAAACCAGGTCAGCTCCATGGGGGTCCGCCATGAGCTCCCACTGCTGCATTTCAGTCTAAGTAACACAAGCAACTTACCCATCCCCACTAAGCTCCTGTGAGTGGCATCAGGTCCCCGGCAGCCACTAACTTTCCCTGCTTCTAAGACGTGGGCGGAGTAGGGTGGGTGACCTCCACGTATACGAACAAATACCTCTGGGTAAATTTGAATTTCCTATAAATGATAAATGCTGTGTGAGAGTAATCATATCTCAGGTAGTTTGGGGGAGGGGGACCCTCAGAGGGTAAAGCTGTGTCTTTAAAGGACTGCAGGGTCCACCATGCTGCCTTACTTGTACTTTCAAACCTGTGACAGCACTGCTTTCCTTGGGCACCAAGGAGATCATGGGGTGAGGGTGCCCATCACCCTCCCTGGATGTCAGAACACAGAACGCCACAGGAGGCCCATGATAAGCATTCTGTGATGGATGGATGACCACAGAATGCCTTGGGAAGATGACGAGAGCTGAGGTCTTGCATGGGGAACGGGGGTTGGGCCACTATTCACAGGAGCTGGCATGGGGGAGGATAGAGAGGGAGGTGGGGCTTGTGCCCGAGTTATTAGACAGCTGTCCTAGCGGGCAGCTAGGCTGGGTGAAGATCAGTGGAATGTGGGTCGCTGACTGGAGCAGCTGGGAACCCTCACAAGGCCCCTGTCCTGAGACCACAGGAGAGGTGGGTGTTCTGGTACAGACCCACACTGACTAGGGGACACAACAGGAAGACAGCACGGAGGTGCTGTGACCCACAGGCCTGGGACCGGATGACAGCCCTCCCCATCAGGGTCCAGAGCACCCTGGACTTTGTAACAGATAGATATCTGTTACAAAGATCTCAGAATTTCCAGATCAATTAGTACATCCGGACCAATGACTATTATTTTTACATAGTTGCATTTCACTTCTCTTTTCTAAATACTATTTATCTTTAAGCTGACTCCCTGCCCACCTAAAGGCCAGAGGCCCTAAGACACCAAGTTCATTTTCTGATCATTCCTAGGTTTAGGAGACACTGAGTGTGGGGTTGGCCATCCAGGTCTCTACAGACCTTAGAGAAATATGGGTATAATTTGCATCCCACTTGGACCCTAGAAGGGAGCCCCTGGGAGGAGCATTGAAGCTGAGAAGTGTCATTTCTTCAAACCCCTCTGCAGCCACTTGAGTTTGCTTTCATTCAATATGCATGTGAATTTCCTTTCTAGGAGTATTGCAAGTTTTAGGCTGAGAACAACGTATTAGACTAAGGATGAACCCTAAGGCTGCCAGGTACTAGAAGGTTCTAGAGGTCCACAGGATGCAAGTAACTACAGCATATGCCAGGTGTTTTTTTGGTTTTTTTTTTTAACAAATTTCACAGATCCTTTAAGATGAGTGATAGCCTCAAATTGTATATGGGCAGGGTGCTGATGTATATGGACAGGATGCTATGTAGGGAGGGTCCAAGAAAGAGCTGGATGAGGCAAAACCTGGCTGGAGACACAGCCAACTGTGTCTGTGGAGCCCTTATGTCTTCCCTAGGGGAAAACTCATGTCCTCCACATATGTGAGCGGCAGAAGCTAGATTGATAAGCAGTGGCCACTCACACTTGCCTTTCTTGGCGTAGAGGTTTGGACTCAAGGGTGGTCTGGAACTCAAACATTTTTGTATTTGGAAAACAGTTCCTTTAATAAAACAAAGACAATGAGCCCTTCTCCATCCATTTCCAGCGATCAATCCCATTTTGTTTTTTCTGTGCACTGAGCCCTGGGGAAGGTGAGTCGTGTGTAATTCTGTGTGCAGCTTCCCACCGACAGGTCTGTTTCCAGCACAAATATATGTGTTGATGCTTTCTTCAGAAGTACCCTGGGTACTGGAGATGTTTTGGAATACACAGAGGTAAACCCCAGATGCCTCTTCTTCCCTGGGCATTGGGGGAGTGGAAGCTTCTTGGGGTGGACTTCAGCCTCCACAGCACCGTTGCTGTTGCCCCCAGAGACTCTCTCCCAGTTCTGGAGGCTCTAGCCACCTCCCTCACCTACCCATCTGCAGACCAGCAAAATATTCTCCCCTTCTCGTCACCAACCAGGAGTTTGGTCTGGTTTCTTGGGAAGAAAAAGAAAAAAACAAGAGTATCAGAGTCAGCCTGTGAGGACTGAGTATATCAGCCCACACTCAGGAAAACTGCCTCCTGGGGCTTGGTCCAGGACTTCACAGAGCCAGTCCTGGCCTCATCTCCCTGAAGCCAGAGACTGCACTGGAAGAAATGGAGACTACACTAATCAGGGCAGCAGGGGCCACTGAGCTGGGAAAGCTGCGGGTCCCAGAGTACAGAGAGAAAGTTGAAGATGCTAGGGATTCCAGAGAGCAGGTTTGGCCCTGCCTCTGCCAGTGTAGCCTGGGGACGATACTTCCTGTGTGGAGAGCTGATTGAATCTCAGTAACTAATTCCACTGGATCACCATGATGGCTAAAATCATGGGAACCAAATGTTGTCTATGACACTTAAATAAATAGTATTTCCTAAGGCCCAGTGTGGCTGGGAGATTCTCTGGTGGGCCTGCCTAACAGCCTGGCCTGGGCCTGGTCTGGGCCCAGGGTTGATGGGATTTTGCTAGGGTGGTCATAGCACCCTCTGCTGGAGGCCTGGAGAAACCAGGTTGCACTTACTTAGACACAGCCAGGGCTGTCAGGGCAGGGCTGGCCTTGCTGGGTTTGCCTGTCAAAGCAACACTGATGTCCAGCTCTCGACTCAAAGCAAGGTTCTTTCCCCACCTGCAACCTGCTGGAAATGTGCAAGAGAAGAGTTAGAACAATGTCCATGCATGAGACCACGGACATTTACACAGTGGGCCACACATACACACATATTTATATTTGTGGTCAGCAACTTGCTAAATTGAGGGGGGAAAAATATATTTAATCTTAGCCTGTGCTGTTGCAACAGAAAAAAAGGACCGTCCCAATTTAATTTGCAGGCTGTGATAGTTACATGTGCTGACGTGCCACGGTATCCATTGTGTACCAAATTGGATTTGTGTATTATTGCTTTCTAAATTGCATGCCTAGTTCAGCAAAATTGTTCATCAGTGTTTACTGGCTTTATGCTTAATAAGATGCCCCACAATACCTTGCTGCCAGGATGTAATGCAGCCTGTAATTGCCTAGTAAAAATAAATTACATAAAGTTGGCATTATCAACTTATCTAAATCCTCTCATGCCACAACCAATAATTAAATGCTGAGAACTTTTTTTTATTATTTTTTTTTCAAAAAAATATAACTCAATGATTACTTCACTCATTTTAATGACTGCATTTGGGGACAGACAGTAATTCTTTCACAAATGTGAAGGGTGAGATGGAGAGACAGCAGCTGGCCACGTCCCTGTGAGGCCATTTTGCTGGACTCAGGGTAAGGAATGGTGCCATGGGCTTGGTGGTCCTGGGGTGCTGGCCTGCATGTGCCGACAGGCCTGGGCACCAGGGAAAGCTGAGGGATACCAGTGGGAGAAATTGCCTGGAGTCAGAACTAGGCATCTGTAAATTCCTACACAATTCCAAACAGCACACGTTTCCCGGGTGCTTTTTATCTAACAGATTGAGTGCTAATCGAGGGAGTGATTTCTGAAATAAATTGTATTCAATTGGGTTGGTTCTTGCTGCATATGACAAATAAATGAATTCTGGGCAGAAATGAGATTACATCTGCCCACAGATGCAAGATCCTCAATCTCTTCAAAGAATCTCCTTTCTTGCCCCTGAAGACATCGGAAAGGATGCAGCAATACACGCCACTAGGATGCGTGTGCAACTATGCACATGTCACTCTTAATATTTCCCCGTTTCCAACAAAAATGGTTTGAGCAATATTGTAAAAACAACACGCTCTGGATGCCAGTGACTCACACCTGTGATCTTAGCTACTCAGAAGATTGAGATCTGAGGATCTTAAGTGGGAGGCTAACCTGAAGCCTACAAAACTCTTTTTTTTTTTTTTTTGGTGAGTCGTGGGTCTTGACCTGCTGTCCCTCAGCTCTTCAGCTCAAGGCAAGTACTCTACCACTTGAGCCACAGGGCCACTTTCAGTTTTCTGGTGGTTTATTAGAGATAAAGAGTCTCAAGAACTTTCCTGCCTGGGCTGGCTTTGAACCACAATCCTCAGATCTCAGCCTCCTGAGTAGCTAGGATTACAGGTGTGAACCACCAGTACCCAGCTCTACAAGACTCTTTTATCTCCAGCAAACTGCCAAAAAAGTCAGAGATGGAGCTGTGACTCAAATGATAGAGTGCTATCCTAGAGCCAAAAAGTTCAAGAACAGCATCCAGGTCCTTAATTAAAGCACACACACACACACACACACACACACACACACACACACACACAATTTGCTTCCTTATTAAAGTACTCCAGAGAGTTATAGTTGTCAACTGGCATGCAGATGGGTTGGCTGTGTACACCAGTATGTCATTCCATCCTCATCCTTCCACAGCTGTGGCAGTCAGCTCAATAGGGCAGTGGTGGCCTTAGGTCAGGATGGATGACAGGGGCAGATCATGGATTAGGGACTCTGTCATCTTGAAACCATCTTGTAATTTCCCTAATCTCATCATCAGCCACTGTGTTTAATGAAAAGAATCTCTTAGGAGCCTGAGACAGTGACAATAATGATCTGAGTTTGTGGTGTAGATCCTGGCCTATGTCTGTCACTTCCTGTCATCAATGCTCTGTGTGGCAGAGGTACGAGACTTCTATTTGATAGACAGGGAAGCAGGGTCACACAGGTTGCTGGGTCTACAGTCTTGTTTCCCACTTCTCCTTTCCAACACTCAAGCAATGAACAAACACAGCCTTACTAGAGTTGTTGATGCTGGTAAGAAACCTATTGGTCTGTTGGCCCGATCCAACCTGTGAATGGTTCTAAGGTGCCTTTTCTTCATCTGTCCATCCATCTACCATTCTAGCCATTCACTTAGCCTTCTTTTCTGAGCATACTTATTGCAGTCATTGGCTAAGCTAGTAACCTTAGCTCATTGGGCCTTGAGAGCTGCAAAAGGGAGCAGTTGGTCCTAAAACCAAGATGGCGGGCAGTGCCCACAGAACTGCTTCACTAGCAGGCTGAGAATAAGAGACCTGTACTGGTTCCCTTCCATATGGACAAAATTAGAGGAGGGAGCGGAATGCTGGTGGCTTACGCCTATAATCCTAGCTACTCAAGAGGCTGAAATCTGAGGATCAAAGTTTGAAGCCAACCCAGGCAGGAAAGCTCACATGAGACTCTATCTGGAGTTGACCAGCAAAAAGCCAGAAGTAGAGCTATGGTGCAAGTGGTAGAGCACCAGCCTTGAGTGGAAAATGCTAAGAGACAGCTCCCAGGCCCCAAGTTTACGTCTCTGTACCAGCATAGGAAAAACAAAATAAAACAAAACAAACAAAAGAAAAAGGGAGGAGTTCAGCTGGGTGGGGAGGTGTGTGTGTGTGTGTGTGCATGTGCCCACATGAGTTCTCACCAATACTGGGACTTAAATTCAAGGCCTTTTGGTCTTACTTGGTTTTCACTCGAGGCTGACACTTTACCACTCGAGTCACACCTCCACTCTCAGCTTCTTGCTGGTTAGAGATAAAAGAGCCTCACAGACTTATTCCTAGGTTGGGTTTGAGTCAGGATTCTCAGATCTCAGCCTCCTGGATTAGTTAGGATACAGGCGTGAGCCATTGGTGCCTGGCAGAATCTACACTTTCTTAAGTCCCTGAGCAATGCTCAGATTCATATTGAGACTCATATTGGTGATAATCCCAGACTCACATTGAAGATCCTGTCATGTGGAGTTGGGTAGACTAAACCAAGGCCAACAGGGCTATCTGAGACTGGAGGGATCCATGTTCTGCTCCCCTTTCTGGGGAAGGGGTTGCTCCCTTTCCCATCCACACTCTGGCTGTGCAGGCAAATAGCTAGCTGCATCTAGCTCCCTGGTGGGCATTAGTACCATCCAGGCAGGTACAGAGCATCAAATCAAAATCACGGACATGTGTTTCCCCTCCTGAAGCTCAGGAGCCTCAATCCCCACTGTGCATAGGGCCATGGAGCACCCTAGAGCTAGTGTGGTATACTGGTGTCTACTAGGCCTAGGCCAAGAAGCAACAAGGAGCTTTTCATACTGCCAGCCCCCCCCACAACTTGCAGGAAGAAAATCATTCTCCCAAGGTCCATCCCCAGCCCTGGCAGCAATCCCCAGAGTGTTGTCTTCTCTCAGCTCTGAAGCCCAGAGGCAAAGCAGGAAGAGAAGAGGGAAGGGAGATAGCTCAAGGCAGGAAGATAGCTCAAGGCAGGTGTGGCTTCCTCTTAGCCAGACAGGTACCTTGGGGGCTTGGGGGCTGAGTGGAGGGTTCCTCTGCTGTTCCCTGCCCAAGAATGGACATCTTCATGTCCTCCGTCTTCCAAATCTGTCCAGAGAAAGTAAACGTGTCATGAGCTGGGAAAGCGATCCTGTCTGCAACTCTAGATGGGGGGTAGACATGCTAAGTCTCCACCTCTGGGGAGGGAAGGACAAAGCACAGCTACGTGGGGGTTTGGTTACTACTCTCCTTGTGGAGGCTTATTACTGAAAGGAAAATGTAACCCAGGCAGAAAGGTACCCAGAAGACCACGTGGACAGAAGTCACGTAGAGGAAAAGATTTATTTTCCTTTCATTTTCGTGGCCTGTACGGGGATAGGCTCCTCAGAGGATTCACTGGGAGGGCCCTTCCAGCGACCCTGGGACCTAACCCACTGTCCTAGGCAGACCCAAAAGACTGCCAAGCTGATTTCCTACTGAACTGAGTGCCTCCTACGCGTCTGCCAGTGGCTGATCAAGTCCTACCCCCAGGTAAGTGAAGAGTCTAGAGACTTAGATTTCACTGGGCAGGCTCGGTGCCTCTGTCCGGGGGCTTCAGGGCTCCCCTACCCCAGAAAAACTTGACCAAGTATTTAAGCCACATTTCTGAAGGCCTCCATGGTCGTGGAGAAATGTGACGACATTTCCCACTGGTTGTTTCCCACTTTTTGAGCCAAATTGCACTGCCGAGGATGCTCTGCAGCAAGCTTTTGGTTCCAGGTCACTTACCATGGGCCGGACACAGTCTAATATTCCTGGCATTCTTCAGGACTCCCCCTTGGGTTGTCTCTTAAATAATCTAAAAGTGCTCCAACTTCAATCTGACATTGATCCACAGGAGCTCATATACTTCTGTACTGAGATATAGCCTAAATATTCACTGGACAATCAGTCCACGTGGCCCATTCATGGGACACTGGATCCTGTATCCTATGGGGTCGATCTATCCAACTTCTGCAGGCGGTCATGCAGGTTAAAGGAGGCCAGCTACGTAGATGCTTTCTCTTTCTTTCTCTCCTTCCTCCAAACTAAACTATCTAAGTCCTTAAGTCCTCCTGCCCAACTCCTTCTAGCCACAAGGCCACCAGTGTATACCCCAGACTCTGTTTCAGATCCGGTGGATGAGTTGCTGCCATTTCAAGTACGTGGGTCAACAGCCCCTGGGCTGCGCTGGAGGAGGTAGGATTTCCACTGAAGGAGGTGGGACTTCCGCCAGAGGTGGCAGCCCCCTCCCCGGCTCTGATCCAGCAGCCCTCACTCAGCCCTCCTATCAATGGTTCTGGCACCCTCCATTCCCGCACCATCCAAGGCCAAGGCCCCCTTCCATCAGCAACCTCTCCTCCCCGATGGACAAAAGCATGCCTGGCCTGGACACTCTGAACCAGCTGTCTCAGCTGAAAGATGCCCTGGAGGTTGTTACTCGCCTTACAGAAACAGTATTTATAATGTATCATGTGATTTCTTTTTGTTTCTTTGTATGTTCCTCTCTCACAGTATAAGCCCTATTTTCACTGTATTTGATGTTGGTGCCCTGCATCTTGTATATACACTTCTCTAATTTGGGGAGGGGAAGGGAAAAAAAAACAAAATGTTTAAATACGGATACAGGTTGGGAAAGAAGGGATGGTAGGGGAAAAACAAAGGAAGAAGCAACAAGGCTAGATAGGAAATGTACTCATTACCTTGCTCATGTAACTATAACCCCTCTGTACAGTATTTTTACAATAAAAACCTTAAAAAAATAAACAGAAACATTGAGTACCATCCTTACCCAGACCCAAGGGCCTGCTACAGACCAGAGTGCTACTTGAGCCCACGTTCTTCCATTATGGGAGGTGGCAGAGTCACGGTGCATATGCCGTTCTCATTAAATGACCTAGCACAGATTGACATGCACCTGGGTTCTTTCTCTGCCAATCCTACTGCCTATACCAAGAAGCTGCAGCATATATTCCTATCCTATGAGGTAACCTGGTGTGGCGTATACATAACCTAGTACCCTTCTACCAGGGGGACAGTGGGATATTTAGGAAAGGCCCACTGCTATGCAGATGAGGCCCACCAGACCACCCCTAATCACCTAGCTGGGACTGAGGCTAGTGCCTGACCAGGATCCTCACTGGGATTTACAATTCCCCAGGTGGTGGCCAAAGGTGAAACCAATTTATTGCCTGTATAATGGGATGGTCTCAAACATGTGGGCCACAAAGCCATCAACTATGACAAAATGGCCACGGTCATACAAGACAAAAATGACAACCCGTCTGACTAAGTCAGACCCTGCTGCTACCTGAATAGTGGAGGTTGCCATGTGCTTCCTCTTGGAGGAAATATGGCTCCTCTAATAAACCTTATAATAGTCTTTCTCCTGTGCCTGCCAGCCTGCCTCTGTGTGGTCCCCTGGGATAGATGTGAAGGATCCCTTCAATTACTCTCACCTCTGGGTCCTGATGTACTTCTCCCTCTATTCTCCACAGCCAGTTTGTTTATGTGCCAGTACTGGGGCTTGAACTCCATTGAGCTTCAGGACTTACTTGTTCTTCTTTTTTTTTTTTTTGACTCAGAGCTGACACTCTGCCACTTATGCCACACCTCCATTTATGGCTTTTTGTTGGAGTCCCGTGGACTTTTCTGCCCTGGTTGACTTCAAACTGTGACTCTCAGATCTCAGCCTCCTGAGTAGCCAAGACTGTAGGTGTGAGGCACTGGTGTGCAGCCCAGCTCATCATCTTGTTCCTAAGTTAATATCTACTTCTACCCATGCCATTGTCCCTGGGGGCCTCTCTGCACTCTGACCCCATGCTCTCTGCATGCATGCCCTGGGGCTGATCGCATGAGTTGTGTCATCTCACTTGCTGAGTCTGGACTTCGATTGCTGAAGGACAGGAGGCAGCTTTCCCTCCATGGTTCTGTGATCTGCCCCCCTCTCCTAGCATGGGCACTGGGTAGATCTAGAACTGAGTGCTTCACACTGGGGATACTTACATTCCTGCCTTGGATAGGCCCAGAGAAGAACTGTTGCTGAGGCTCATTGGCTGACTTCCCCCCCACCCCTCCCCTGCCCCCCGCCCACACCCTATCAAGCCTGGACCTCTACATTTTCCTCATTCTGGCAAGCCTGAAACACCTTGGTCTCCTACAGACCCTGAGCTCCCAGCCACTGAGAGCCCTATGAGGCACTTCCTGCCAGTCAGCCTCTCCCAACTCATGCTGGCCAGTTAGCCTACAGACTTCACAGGCTCTGACTGCTCTGTGTCCTCAGGGTTCAGCTGAAACATCACCTCCCCTGAGTTACTCCTGCTAGAAAGGACAACTCTCCTTCCCTTGGGCCTTCTCCTGTCACTCCATTCATTCCCCAGAGTGTCACCTGCTGATATGGGAGTCTGGAGGGCCTTGGAGGGCAGACTATGAATTTCAGCTGCGAATTCTCAGAGCAGGCTTTTGCAAATATTTGTAGCATTTGCTCAAACACCTTGTAGTGAAAAAAATCTATTTTTTCTTTGCTAGTCCTGAAGCTTAAACTTTAGGTCTGGGCACTTGTCCCTGAGCGTTGGTACTCAAGGCTAATGCTCTACCACTTGAGCCTCAGCGTCACTTCTGGATTTCTGTAGTTAATTGGAGATAAGAGTCTCATGGACTTTCCTGCCTGGACTGGCTTTGAATCACCATCCTCAGATCTCAGCCTCCTGAGTTGCTAGGATGACAGGTGTGAGCCACTGGCACCCAGCAATAACTTAGTTTCTTAAATCATGAAACTTGAGTTCCACAAGTATACCTCATAATTATCCCCGATCTTCACCCATTCCTTCATCCTGTCAACCTCAAGAATTAACCACTGAGACATGTACTTCCCATTTTATCCCTTCATATCAGTGGTTCCTTCTTTTCTTGGCCCCCTGAACCTCCTTCCTCTCCACAGATGTTCTCAAGGCCATGGTACTTCTGATTACCTCAACACGTGCATACCTTTCTCTGGGATGTGAGTTTCCTGATGAAAAAGTCTGATTTCCTTGATTCCTATGTCTACAGGGGCTTGTATGGAGTGCTTGGTATGGAGTTAAGCCTTCAGTGATTATTGAATGGGTAGCAGGCAGGTGGATGGATAGATGGATGGGCAGGCAGTTAATGGGGGAGTGGGTAGATTAATGAAAAGATGGATGTGGATGGATGGGTAAGTGGATGGACAGATGAATTGGAGGGTAGGTGGATAGCTTAATGTATGAACAGAAGGCTGGAGAGATGCATGAATGAACAGACAAGTGCATAAACAGATACACAGGCAAATAGTTGGGTAGACCCGTTAAGGGGTAGATAAATAGGTGGTTAAGTTGGGTTGCATAAATGATACATATATCTCTTTTCAGCACTAATTTACTGAATGTGAACATCAACATTCTAGTGACCATTCAGCATTCACATGAACTTATTAATATTCACTTATACTAATGTGTTGTTAACATGTTAATATTAATATTAATATACGTGCATATGTGTGCACTACACAATCCATGCATATGCATATAATATATAATACGCATGTGTGTACATACATAGTATATGACATGTAATACAGGTGTGTGCATGTTTGCATATGTGTATAAAATACATATGTATGCATGTGTATACATTTATATAATACATATGTATATATAGGTGGGTGGATATGTTTATTGTATATATATGTATATATATATATGATTTTATTTCGCTTTTTCCTTAGAGAAAGTCCTACCCTTCTTTCACTTGCTCTAACTGCTGCCTAGACGAGGAAGGTCTCAAAGGCCACTTATAGAATTGGACCCCTATGGGGAAAATGGAGAGAACATTTCTTGTGTCCTCTTGTCATTCTGACCTTATAAAACACACCTACCCGAACAATGCCATCTTGACTCCCAGTGACAATGACGTGACTTGCATCCCAGGCGGGGCCCTCCACCACACAGCAGCAGGTTATGGCTCCTTCAGGGCCCCAGGCGGTGGTGATGCTGGCCAGGGGCTGTCCGTTGACGTTCCACAGGGACAAGTGAGCTCCCGCACAGGAGACGATGACGCCCTGCAAAAATGACAGGTGCCATCCCTGCCGACCCATCTCTCCTCTGCTCAGCCACCCAGTCTTCACGCTGCAGCACCCATCTCTGCCATCTTCTTGCAACATAGCCCCCAAATCCCCTACAACACACTTTTCAGCTTACTCATGAATTTGCTCTATTTTCACACAGTTAACTTTTTGACTCTTTCTACTGCAATGATATTTTGGGACAGCACTTCTTCTGGCAGATGGTGACTGGCTGTTACGGCTTGGGATGAAGTGTTCCCCATAAGGCCCATGTGTGGAAGACTTGATCCCCAGCTAGTGGAGCTAATCACTGAGATGTGATTGGATTATGAGGGCTGTGACCTAAACAAATGGATTGCTCCACCAAAGGATTCATGATTTTGCTAGTGCTATTGGGAGATGGTGAAAGTAAGCAGTGGCACCTGGTTAGGGGAGACAGGTCCCTGGAAGTGTCTTTGAAGGTTAATATCTTGTCCCTGGACCCTTCTGCATGCATGCTCTCTCTCTCTCTCTCTCTCTCTCTCTCTCTCTCTCTCTCTCTCTCTCTCTCTCCTCTCTCTCCATTGTTTCTGGCAAAAGCAGCTCTGTTCTAGCTCTTTCTGTAGGTGGTTCCACCTTGACTTAGATGCACAATAATGGAGCTAGCCATCATGGACTGAAACTTCTGAGACTGCAAACAAAATAAATCCATCCTCTCTTAACTTGTTTCAGGCCTTTCATCGCAATAGCAGAACATCAACATACTGGAGCCTTTTGGGGTTGCTCCCAGAACCCTCTTCCTGGCCATACCCTGGCTGCCACAGATGACCCCACCTGACCCCACCTGAGGTTACACCTCTGGACAGGGTCAGCAGGCCTACAAGTGACTGCCCAGCTTAGCCTCATGAAGTTTAAGTGGACAGCATGGGACAGAGGTTCAAATGATTACAAGTGGCTCATGAAGTTAAGTGATGCCCCTCAAAGGGAACCATGGAGAAGAAATTTCCCTGTTGCATTTCTTAAAACACTCATATCCAGAGTGTCTCTCCCAAGTCCTGCCTAGCCAATAAAAATGGAATGGTAGCCATTGGAATGCTGGGGCCATTCCTTTAAGCCCTGCCTACCCACCAAGGGATGTAGAACTCAATGCCCTTCTACAAGCTGGCTTCTATTGTACCACTTCTCAAATGCTTAGGGCTAGCTGTCCCAAGGCCAGAAACTTTTAGCACATCTCTGCCCAGCACCCAGACCTGGGCCCAACAAGCATGCAATGAACCCAGATGGCTCTGGGACAACCTGTCCTGGTACCAGTGTTCTCTGGGGCTTGGGAACACCATTGGTAATGGTTCTGTGTTCTCCCAGATCAGGGATTTGTGCCTTCATCCAATATGTTATTTCATCTATCTATGCACCTTCCACACTACCTATCATCATCCATCCATTCACCCATCTATCCCATATCCACTTACCCCACTTATCCACTCAAACTGCCAACTATCCATCCACATATTCTCCATCCACTCATAAATCTATCCATACTTCCAACTATCCATCCACCTATCTTCCATCCACTCATAAATCTATCCACCCATACTTCCAACTATCCACCCATCCACCCAATGACCATCTACCTATTTATCTCTATGTCTTTTCACTACCCATATTTCTATTTGTCCATCGTTTTTCTGTCCACCCACCTCATCATCCATCCACATATGTAACATTCATCCTATATTTAAGCCTGTCTGGAGCACTAAGTCCAGCCAAAGTTGAGATCAGGACTTTCCATCATCTTTCCCTTCATCTATGAATCCTCTACCCACATAGCCCATGCACTGAATCCTTGGGGTTTTGTTTGAATTCATGCAGGAACTCTGCAGCCTCAGAGAACTCCTACCCATGAGAGGGCATCCATCCTGGAGGAAAAGCCACACTGATTTTATATTTATATGTGTATGTTATATATACATATATAATGTGTATGTTATATATACATATATATATAACTTTACATGTATATGTACATCTGAGTGTATATACTATACACTTACCTATATACCTATATATGCACATATATTTGTATATTTATGTATATATACGTACCTGTGTACATGTGCATATTTGTATGTGTGCACACATATTTATATACACTCGATGTATATACACGTTATATATATATGAATATACATGTATATATGGATATATACATATGTGTGTACACATCTATACATATATACACATACACACAGATGTATCTCACACACAGATCTCTGCCATGCTACCAGCATGCTACCATGCAGGCTGAAAGACATGGCTAGGACACAGACGTGGAGAAACAGGGGTCTCACCGAGATGTCACTGATGGCGATAGCGGAGATGCCCTCACGATGGGCAGGCAGGCAGGCCACGTGGGCGAGGTGGTCCAGGTCCCATAGGATGCAGGTGCAGTCCTGGGACCCACTCACCAGTAGGCTAAAGGTGACTGAGGCTGCCAGGCATGTGACAGCCTGAGTGTGTCCATACAAGGCCTGGAAACAGGAGCCAGACCCACAGATTATGACAGAAACCCTTCACTCGACCACCCATGTGGGTTCCCCACTCTTCCCTTCATTGCTGGGCTCAAAATGGGAAACAGAGGTTCAGAGTGATTCAATGATTCCAGAGCTTAGTCTGGGGATGGGCGGCGGGGAAGCGGAAGAAAGGATGCACATGTACGGGTCCACAGCTGGCAATCTGTATCATCAGATTCTAGGGGTTGAGGCCCAGCTGGAGATAATTAGGAATCACTGTATGATAACCCGACCAGAGGTGAGCAGTGTCCTTAGGTTCTGTCTTCCCAGCATGTATCTGGAATCTGAGACAGCCCACAGTGCAATTAACATGTGAAGGCTGGGGCTGGAAAAGTGGGCGGTGCTGTCCAGGCCAGATGCCTTGGCAGTATCACTGGGAGCTTGCTAGCTTGCTAGAAATGTAATTTTCAGGCTGTTCCTGAGGCCTGAGTCAGAGCATGGCACAGCCCTGCAATCTGCATTCTCACAGCCTTCCAGGAGATTCTTGGGCATGCTCACATTGGAGAGGGTCACACTATGGGACTCAGATCATTATCGAATAAAATGTGACTTTTTACCAGAGGCTAGTGGTTCATGGTTATAATCCTAGCTACTCAGGAGGCTGAGATCTGAGAATCGCAGTTCAAAGCTAGTCCACGCAGAAAAGTCTATGAGACTTTTATCTCCAATTAACCACTAGAAAATCCACAAGTGGAGCTGTGGCTGAAGTGATTGAATGCCAGCCTTGAGCAAAAAAAGCAAAGGCCCCGAGTTCAAGCCCCAGAACCAACACACACACACACAGAGTGACTGTTCAAGTCTGAAGGGTCTGGGTTCATGACCAATGGTGATATAAGGGCCTTGCTCTGGGCTTCAGATCTGGCCTATTCAGGGCCAGGCCAGACTTATGGATGGCCAGAGATTTTGCTCTTCAGTGGATGTGTTGCTAAGGAAGAGAGGTACTCATGGCCCACTGCTGCAGGCAGCATCCCAAGGCCACTGGGAAAGCCTGACATGAGACCTTGTGCCTGCCGTGCTCTGGAATTAGCCAGGTGCGTGCAGAGGTGGCATTCTGGAGTGTAACTAGCCTGGCTAGCCTGTTGGTAAACCTCCACCCTCAGGGCAGAGACAACTGCTCACTCATTTGGGTCAATGAGACCTAGCATCATTTTTCAAAGCTGTCACTTTGCCTGATGACGGCAATTAAAAGTTTTGCCACAGGTTCCCTTTTGTCCTCAATGGATCCTAACATGACACCAACCAGATGGTGGTGGCAAGCTTCTGGGCAAAACCCAGGGAAGAAGATTTGGGTCATCTCGGGAACATGGAAGGTCTCTAACTAGAGCAAGGAGAGGATGAGGCAGAGCTTTTGGAATGAGGGCTGCTGACAGCCGTGACCACAGGGGCACAGCAGCTCCACAGGCGCGGGAAGGGGACCCAGGTGTGAAGTCCAGACCTCAGAACAGCTGTTCTGAGTCAAGCACCAATGCAGGCTGCATGCTCCTGCATGCAGCCTGTGTGGTCCACATTGCCCACAAAGGCAAGGCAAGACTGTTGTCTTGATGAGCAGAAGTCACAGCTCCAAGCCAGACTCACCATCCATATCCTGTGCCCACCATTGGAAAGGCAGAGGAAAGCAAAGGAGGACACAACAGTTCTGAATGTGGCTCCATGTGCTTCTCCATATTCTCAGAATGTGTGTGTGTGTGTGTGTGTGTGTGTGTGTGTGTGTGTGTGTGTGTGTGTGTGTGTGTGTGTGCGCGCGTGTGTCTGTCCTTCAGGGCCTGGGCACTGACCCTTAGTTTTTTGCTCAAGGCTCTACCACTTGAATCACAGTTCCATTTTTTTTCTTTGCTGGTTAATTAGAAGAGTCTAGAAGATTTATCTGCCTGGGCTGGCTTAAAACTGTGATCCTACAGGTGGACCCATTGCAACAATGCCATGTACAAGTCATTATGTCGAAAAACTAACTTTACAACTTTGGTGGGAGGAACAGGTGTGGGGTGGGGGGCATGGGAAGGGATGGGAAGGGGAAACAAAGGAGGAGCTAACAATGCTTGATAAGAAATGTACTCGTAGGGGCTGGGAAGGTGGCTCAGTGGTAGAGGGCTTGCCTTACATGCATGAGGTCCTGGGTTCAATTCCCCAGCACCACATAAGCAAAAAGAAAAAAAGCCAGAAGTGGCACTGTGGCTCAAGTGGCAGAGCGCTAGCCTTGAGCTAAAGAGCTGAGGGACAGCGCCCAGGCCCAGAGTTCAGGCCCAATGACCGGACCCCCCCAAAAAATGTACTCATTATCTTGCCCATGTAATTGTAACCCCTCTGTACGGTATTTTCACAATAAAAAACAAACAAACTGTGATCCTCAGATCTCAGCCTCCTCAGTAGTTAGGATTACAGGATGCATCAACTAGAACAACTTCATTGTATCATCTTGCAGAACACCGAAGTAACAAAATATAAATAAAACAATTGTCTCAAAATAATTCACAATGGTATACGTGGCAAAGTGGTTACTTTCAATTAATTATTGGTGGCATTGAGAATCTATAGAATGAATGTGGAAAATCTTGCGTCACTGATTAGTAAATCTACTCCAAAATCATCAGAAGGAAACAATCAGTCAAAAGCAAACACTGTCTCTCTAAGATACCTTCTACAGCACTACTTAAAATAGTAGAAACCTGGAAATAACCTAATTGCCTGATTTTAGGAGAAAAGGTTTTACTAAGCTGTGGTGCATCGGACTTGAAATGTAATTTTGTGGAAATAGAATCATCTGGAACAATTGAAATGTAAATTATAGAGGCTGTAGAAAAATGAAGAGAATTTGATAGGCTGGCTGAAAGCAGAATACAAATAACTACACAGGCTGGGTAAAGGTATAAATATGTATATCAGGCACAATAATATGCAGAAATGGAGACGTTCATGAGGATTATAGAGAAATTGTCTGCCTTTGAAGAGAATTTGAAATGTCTCTTTAGTGGAATAGTTTTAACAAGTGTTGATGGCGTTAGTAGATGATGACATGTCTCTAGGTCAGGGGTGGACCTTTGCTAAGAAGCTGGTGGTTTGAGGGATCCCAAAGACCATGCCTGTACCTTGACTGTACAGGAGCCTGTCCCCTGAGCCTGTGCTTAGGTGAGCACTCTCCTGACACACCCTTCCTCCAGCACCCCTCCCTGCCCAGGCCCTGTTCTGTCTTGGGGATGCAGCAAGTGACAGTGTCACCTGTGCTCTAGGGAAGCACGTGTGTCCAGAGAAAACCAGCTTAGGAACCAGGCACAAGTGAATTTTGTACCATTCATTTGGTTTTGGTCCCTTGGGGATCTATGGCTAACTACAAAACAGATGCACAAACGATTTGTATTTCTGAACTAGAAGTGTCCCTGGTTGATGTTCTGACCCAAATTCAAGACTACACAGGAAGAAAGCTGGGTGATGAAATTTTTAGACCTTAGTGACTATCTCTCATTTTCATTTCTTCACATGCTGAATTTTTAAATAAAAATATTCCCCTAAGGTTACTCAAGCCTATAATCCTAGCTGCTGGAGGCTGAGATGTGGTTCAAAGTCAGCCTGGGAAGGCAAGTCTGTGACATTCTTATTTCTGATTAACCACACAAAAGCTGCAAGTGGAGCTGTGGCTCAAATGGGCAAAACACCAGTATTGACCCAAAAAGCTCAGGGACAGTGCCCAGGTCCTGGGTTCAAGTTCCAGTACCTGTACCCCATACACAAAACATACACGGGAAGAGCATAAAATTTAGATATACGTGGATGAACCCAGAGTTAAACACACGCTCAGCCTTTCTGAGCCTCTGTTCCCTCATTAGAAAAGGCAGGAATAATAGTGCCTGATTTGAAGCATCAACGTTAGAGCACATAGAGGCCCTGGTGCATTCTGGGTGAAATGGAGCACTGTCTTTCCCCAGGCAGCATTAGGGCTGGTGCAGGCCCATGAGATGGGGCAGAGACTTCATTGCTCCCAAGCTTCCAGCCTGCTGTTGGTTTTACTTCTGCTTCCAGTCCTTCCCTTTTCACGTAGTCTCATCTTCTGCATCTGTGAACTTGGAGAACTTTACTTCTTGGGCACCTTAATTTTTCATCAAGAAAGTAGGAATGACAACGGTGCTTATTTCACAGAACGGTTAGAAGGTGAACTAAGGCAAACTATGGCACAGTGGCCAGGCAGGGCGAAGGCTCAGAAAGTATCACCTTGGTGCTGGAGAATGGCTTCCTCTCTGGCCCTGGTGTGTGTGGTGGCAGCTGTGTGTTACATGGTCTCATTGCAGAGTGACAGAACGACAGGCCACCCTCTGCTTCTCATAGAGAGCAGGAGTGCCAGTGTGGGCATGTTCAGGCACCGTGGCTGCCTACAGCACAGGCATGTCCAGTGTGGTCCTATCCCTGCCTGTGGTAGGGTTACTCCCGGGGCACTATGCCAGCCTGATGCACATACCTGCCGCAGGTGCAGGCCTCTGGGGCGGCCTCTGACCACAGTGAGCTCCCACACGCACACCACAGTGCTGGTCCCCGCCGTGACCACCATCGTCGGGGATGGGCACACTGCACACAGGCAGCGGCCCCACTCTGCTAGGTTCTCGAACGTCATCAGGATCTGGGGAGATGAGAGTGGATGCTGGTGCAGGGTGGGCAGAAGCCAGAAGGCCAGGACAACCCTAGAGGGGAGCCCAGACCGCCTGGGTGCTCTGAGAACTAAGGACACGGCGTAGGATCAGGAACCAGCCCAGTGACCATACCCAGGCCATCCCAGGCCTGGACCCCACCATTCCAGTGGTGAGGAGTCACACAAGCAGACACAGGATGAAGAGCTACTCAGATGCCTGGATGAAGCAGCTGGGTGGGAGCAGAGTGGGATGGAGCATGGAGGGCGGGGAATTCATGAGATACAGAGGTAGAAGGGGAACAGGGTGGAAAGGGCTGGGAGGAAGACAGAGACAGATGCAAATCTAATGGTAGCATGAGGCCATCAGCAGAGAGTTTTACTCCTGGAGGGCCAAGCCAGAATATTCTCAGTCAACACCATGCCTGGGGCAGCCTGGAGAGCTCCCTCAGACCTTGCCACCCAGTGTGAGTGAACATCTGGATGGGCTCGCTGTATTCATGTGACTGGCCAGAGTCTGCACCAGCAGCGTGAATGTTGGACTTCGTGGAACCTAGATTTGGGTCTGACTCACAAAGGCTTTTTGGGGTCCCGGGAACCTCTTCCTCCTAGGCTGGAGCATGGTAGCTTTGAGCTCACTGGTCTCTGGACCACCTTGGCCACAGCCAGAGGAGGAGCAGGACCTGCGAGGCCTTCTCTGTTTCCCTCACCTTGTCAGAGCCATAGCTCCCCAGGCAGCAGCTGAAGTCATCGAAGCCCCAGCTGAAGGTCTTGTTCCAGAGAGGGGGCAACAGCACCTTGTTCTTCTCCACAGCCAGGATGGTCTTCTCGGTTGGGACAATGTGACCGATGGCCCCTTTGGGGGACTCTGACCCTAGAGAGAAGAGGAACATATCTACCCCCACCCCCATTGTCAGTGAGTATTATGACTGGGTATAGAGAGGAACAGCATCCACGCTCCACGGCAGGCTAACTGGACTTCACCAAGCACGCACCAGGATCGGGCACTGCTTGCCAAAGTCTTGTCAGACCTGACCATGGCCCAGGTCCCCTCTCCTTGGTTCCACCCCAAACTTGGACCCTCACATGATCCGTGGCTCAAGGTCTCTGTGGCCGTGATGCAAGGAGATGCTGACCACCTGCTCTTCCTGTGCTCCCTAGGAGAGGCCCTACACATGTGGCCTGGCCTTCTGTAACTGCACTCCGGAAGCCACACCTGGCCACAGCTGGAATAAGATTCAGAGTTCAGAGTCTGCTGCTGAGCAGCAGCATCGTGGGTAAGTCACAGCACACTTGCTGTCCCCCCAGGGCCCTTCTGTGGGATGGGGTCAATGATCCCCTCTCAGTGGGGCTTGCTGTACTCCCATGGTGGTGGTGGGGATGCTGTTTACCATGAGGTCCCACCATAAGGGGCCTTTCCCTTCTCCTGGAGGCAGACTCTTCCGAGTGACATGGGAGAACCACCATGTCCTAAGCCCCACACAGCACACAGCGAGGCAGCAGTAGAGCTGGGACTCATACCAGCCATGATCAAGGCCATGTGTTCTCAGTCCCATGGATAGCGGGCTCAGGGACAATAGTGACCAAAGTACAGAAGGTGCTATCTGCTACAGGGCCTTGGAATTTGTCCAGTAGTCTTCAGAGGGAGGTGTGTGTGTGTGTGTGTGTGTGTGTGTGTGTGTGTGTGTGTGTGTGTGTGTGTGTGTGTGTGTGTGTGTGCTTTAGAAACAGATAGACACAGAGACAGAGGAAAAACAAAGAAAGAGAGACAGAAACAGGAGAAAGAGACCAATAGAGAGAAAAAGACAGGAACTAGAAACAAAGAAAGAGAAAGATATAAAGAGAGACAGAAAGAGGAGAGAGGAAAAGACAGACAGAGAAACAGAGCAGGAGGGGAGAAGCTTTGTGCGTGTGTATGGAATGTACATAGATACACAAGAGCGAGGCATGTGTCTGAAGCCACACAGACCAACATGTGGGTCCTCAGATGTCAGGCTCTGACCCAGTGTTCTGGAGGCTTCCAAATAAGTGGAATCCCACCACGTTTAGCCCTTCTAAGCCAGACCCCATGCTTTGCCTAGGTCTCTACACCTGACTTCCCAGGAGAGCCCAATCATGAACAACACAGGACCAAAAACTCACCTTTGACCATGACCTGGGAGGGCCTTAGGGTCTGCAAGCTGTGGAGGAAAGGCTGTGGGTGGCTAGGCATGGCCACAGGTGTGGACGCATCCTTTCCTGGCACCAGCTTCCCTGCTGTGCTCCTGGCCGGGTGGGGCTTGGTAAAGAGCTGGAATGGTATATGTAGCACAACACACAACACAGGTCGTTTAGGGGCAGATGCCCAGAGACCAACCCAGGCAACCACAGCCGCACTCTACTGGGCACTGCTGGTCTGCTTAAAAGGATGGCATCCTGAGCTGGGTACCAGTGACTTGCTCCTGTGATCCTGGCTACTCAGGCAGCTGAGTTCTGAAGATCATGGTTCCAAAAGCCAGTCCAGGCAGGAAAGCCCATAAGGCTCTTAGCCCCAATAAACTACCAAGAAGCCAAAAGTGGAGTCGTGGCTCAAGTGGTAAGGTTAGCCTTGAGCAAAAGAAGCTCAGGGACAGCAACCAGACCCTAAGTTCAAACCCCAGGACTAGCACACACACAAAAGATGCAAATGCTGCCGGGTGCTGGAGGCTGAGATCTGAGGATCACGGTTCAAAGCCAGCCTGGGCAGGAAAGTCCATGAGACTCTTATCTCCAATAAACCACTAGAAAACCAGAAGTGGCGCTGTGGCTCAAGTGGCAGAGCCCTCGCCTTGAGCTGAAGAGCTGAGGGACAGCACCCAAGCCCAGAGTTCAAGCCCTACCATCACCACCAAAAAAAAAAGACCCAAATGCTGCAGCTGAGGGGCTCAGGGCTGGAGAAGCACAGCCTTTCGCTCAGCTATCAGTGCAGAAATCTTTACTGACATCTGTTCAAATATTCTGTTCAAATAAGGCAACCATAGTAAGTGGTATTTTTAATTCTCATTTTTCTCAAATCTCTGCCATCAACTGTTTTTTTTTTTGGTTTATTTTTTTTTTGTCTTTTGCATATCCAGGCAAAACTTTAAGTGTCACCTGGCCCCAGTGTATGTAGGATGGATCAGAAAGGGCCACTGCAGCCAGACTGGACTCCTCCCTGGCTGGACTCCTGTGGAACTGCTTTCTCTATCCATCCACACTGTCCTGTGCTCCCAGATGGAAATGGCTGCTGGGTACTAGGCTGGAAAGCACCGAGGTGGAAGCTGAGCCTGGCCGGCCACAGGTGTGAGAACAGGAGTCAAGTTCAATGGAGAGCCTGGGATCTCAAGCAGCTTTAGTCCGGTGATAGCCTTGACCAAATGCCAGCCTATCTAGGAGGGCTTTGTTGGCGATCAAGTCATAGAAATCAGAATAATGATTTTTATAATGATTGTGTGTGTGTGTGTGCACGCGCGTGCGTGTGCCAATACTGGGGCTCAAACTCAGGGCTTAAGTGCTATCCTGTGCTTAATTCACTGAAGGCTAGTGCTCTACCAATTGAGCCACACCACTACTTCCAGTGTTTTTTTTTTTTTTTCCGGGGCAGGGAGGGGGACGGTTGGCGACTAATTGGAGATGAAAACTCTCCCAGACTTTCCTGCCCAGGTTAGCTTCAAACCTCGATCTTCAGATTTCAGCTTCCTGAGTAGCTAGACGTGAGCCACTGGAGCCTGTAAAACAATGATTTTTTTTTCATGGGAATTTAACAGTAGAAAGAGGCCTCCACAGGCTTGGGGCCTGGCTCCTGCAAGAGCCTCAGCAGGTTCAGACTCAGGAGCAACTCCGTGCAGCTCTGAAGTACTGGCCCTTCCTTGATGGTGACACTCAGAAGCCTCACACAGAGCCACGTGGTGAGGATCAGTTCCACAAGCTGTGAGTGCTCTTAAGCTATCAATACAAGCATGCAGCCTCCTATTTCTAAACATCTATCCTAAAGGGACACAGCCAAGAGGCCAAAGGGCCTTGCAGCTGCTACCAGCAGGCAAGACATGCTCCCACACCAGTGGGGCATGCCTCAGTGCCATCTACCCACTTGATCTACCTGCCTGCTGGGTGACCTGACTTGCTCACCTGTAGTTCTACCTCTGCAGCTTGTTTGAGCTGCATTTCCATGCAAGAGACAGAGCTTGAGCTTCGGTCTCCAGATCCATCAGAGAACACTTTCTTTAAAATCTTTTTGGTGGTATTATAGAACTCAGGGCCTCCAAAGTGTCTTACCAACTTGAGCCATGTGCCCAGGCTATTTTGCTTTCTAGATTACGTGTCAGGTAGGCTCATACTGATTTTTGTCCTTGTTGGACTCAGACTCTGATCCTCCTACTTTTGCCTTCCATGAGGCATAAAAGTGTCCTTCTATGCTCTGCTTTTTTTTGTTTTGTTGAGATGGGGGAGGAGAGAGTCTTACTAATTTTTGTCCTGGCTGGACTTGAACCATCATCCTCCCATCTCTATTTCCTAAGTAGCTGGAATTACAGGTGTTTACCACAATATCTAGCCCCTCCCCCAACCATTTCTTATACTTATAAGAAAACTCAATGATGTAAACACACAAATAACTAACTTTCACTGAGTGCTAGAGTATTTCAGGCATTTTCTAACTACTTGATATGTCTCTACTCACTGGAAATAATAACTTTGTAATCTTAACTACGTGGTAGCCTGAGATCTGAAGGGTCACAGTTCAAAAGCCAGCTAGGGCAGAAAAACTCTGTGAGATTCCATCTCTGGTTAACCAGCAAAATGTCGGACTGGAGGTATGATCAAGCAGTACAGCACCAGCTGACCAAGCAGAGCAAAGTTAATGCTCTGAGTTCAAATTCTGATACTGGCAAAAGAAAAATGAATTTTAAATAGTGAAATTATCACAGTGGCCAGTCACATATCATGATGGAAGAGCCTTTACTGATACCATTAATGATGTCATCATTGAATCAATGTCAGGCAGTAAAAGGGCTGAGGCCTGATCCTGAGGGCACAGGACCCCTTCAGAGTGCCCCCCACCCCAGCTCCTACCAGAAGAGCTTGTCTTCATGGTCTTCCTCAAGCCCACAGTGCCCATGCAAGATGATGATATGGGCTGCCATACCTGCTTGGGCACCTGTCCAAAGTTGCTGACGAACCCCAGGATGGTGCTCTTGATCAGGGGGTCCCCAATGCTGCTGAGGTCCATTCTGTCACCGTAAAAGTAGGGGTGGAAGGTGTTGACGGCCTCCACAGCGGCTGGCCCCTGTTGCTTGTACCCAAAAATGAGATCTATCCAGTGGTGGAGGTTGGCACTGACAAAGTCACTTTCCAGAGCCTGGAACGGAAACCCAGCAAGTGTGAACTCCAGGCCACGGGGAGTTTGGGCTGAGCTTCACAGAGCTGGAGGCTTGTGTGCTGGGATAAGGGGAATAACATGACTTCCGGGTAGGTACCCCCAAAAGAATCAGCCAGGTACCAGTGGGGATGCCTGTAATCCTAGCTACTCAGGAGGCTGAGAGCTGAGGATCATGGTTTGAAGCCAGCCTGGGCAGGAAAGTCTTTGAGACTCTAATCTCCAATAGCCACCAAAAGAGCCAGAAATTGAGATGGGGCTCAAGTGGTAGGGCTCTAGCCTTGAGCAAAAAAAAAAAAAAGCTTAGGGACAGTGCCCAGGCCCTGAGTTCAAGCTCCAGGATATATTCTCTCTGTCTCCCTTTCCCTCTCCCCCTTCCTCTTTCCCCTCCCCCCCCTCTGTCTCCTCCCTCTGTCTCTGTTTCTCTCTGTCTCTCTCTCTGTCTCTGTCTCTGTCTCTCTCTCTCACACACACACAGAATCAGCTTCATTCCTGCAGTGATGCCCACAGCAAACTAGTGAAGGGACCTCTCCATACAGCCCAGAAGCTCCCCTCCCCTTCCATCCCCATCTCTAGTTTCTTCAAGCAGAAAGCCTCCAAGAGACCCAGGGGACCCTGAGGTGCCCCTCAGAACTTTGGACACCAGTGTCACTCACCTGTCTATGCAGGCTGATGAATTTCCCAGGGTCCCCATCTGCCCAGGGAGGGAGTTGCACATCCCCTAGAGCTGTTCCGTCCTCCATGCGACCTGGAAGGGAAACAAAGCAGTATGGATTGTGGTCACTGAGGCCCACACTGAATTATAGGATGTTGAGAACAGAGCTCTCTGGGATTGCCAGTTCTATGCAGCATGGATGGGAGTTGTGTCCTATGCAGGCCACACTGCTTCCTGCTTCCTGCTAGAAAGTCATCTTCACTTCCTCACTAACGCCTTCTGTGTTTTCTAGGCAGCACTAGGGCTGGACTCCCAAGTCACACACAGACCTTGTGTCACTCCTGTTGACACGTCTCCCTTCCCACTAAAAAACGCCTTTTCATCCATATGCTTAATGACAAGAGTGGATGCAGCATTATCAATAATACAAAGTGGCATGCAGTGAACAGCCACGTTTCCACCAGATTCCACAGGAGATTTAGAAACACATCACTTACTGATTCCACTTCAGTTCTTTTCTTTCTCCCTTTTTTATGCCAATATTAGAGCTTGAACTCAGGACCTCACACTCTCATTTGGCTTTTCCAAAGCTCAAGGCTGGTGCTCTAGTACTTCCAGCTTCTTGGTGGTTAATTGGAGATAAGAATTTAATGCCCGGGTGAGATGGTAGGGAGGAAAGGGATGGTAAGGGAGAACCAAAGGAGGGGGAACAATGATAGGAAATGTACTCGTTACCTTATTCATGTAACTGTAGCCCCTCTGTGCAGTATCTTTACAATTAAAAATATATATTAAAAATATAAAATTAAAAAAAATTCATACCCAGGGTACCAAAATCAACTACAGTGACAACAGGGGATATGCCATAGGAGGAAAAAGCACAAAAGTAAAAAGAAATCACATAGTCCATTGAGAACAACAACAAAGGAAAACCTCTTGTGTCCATGTCTTGGAGTTCATCTCGCTTAGCACCATCTTATAGGATCATAAGTACATAGCTGTTGGGCTTATTCTGCTCATCTGCTAAGATTATCCCAGATTTATGCTAATTATTACAAATAAGAGAGACCATGGGACATATGTTTCTTTGGGTCTGTCTTAATATGATTTTTCCAAGTCTTTCCACTTCCTTACAAATGGGGTTATATATATATTTATATCTATGTATACATTATATATAGATATATAAATAGAGAAAGAGAGAGACAGAGAGAGAGAGAGAGATCTGAACTAGGGAAGGGAAGGGGAACAGCAAAATGGTGAGACAAAGGGCAAAGAGGAACCTATGAAAAAGTGATACTCACAAAAGAATATGTTTGAAATGATCTGTACAACTTGGGCAGGGAGTTGGGGGGAGGCAAAGAGGGAGAAAAATGAGGGAAGGGGTAACAAGTTAGGTAAGAAATGTAACCAAGGGCTGGGAAGGTGGCTCAGTGGTAGAGTGCTTGCCTTGCATGCATGAAGCCCTGGGTTCGATTCTGCAGCACCACATAAGCAAAAAGAAAAAAGCCAGAAGTGGTACTGTGGCTCAAGTGGTAGAGCGCTAGCCTTGAGCTGAAGAGCTGAGGGATAGTGCCCAGGCCCAGAGTTCAGGCCCCCACGACCGGACCCCCCCCCCAAAAAAAAGAAATGTAACCAATACCTTACTTATGTAACTGTAACCCCTCTGCACACCATCTTGACAATAAAATAAAAAATAAATTTAAAAAATAATTTCATAGACTTTTGTTTCGATTGGCTTCCAACTGTGATCCTCAGATCTCAGCTTCTTAGTAGCAAGGACTACAGATGTGAGCCACAGTTCCCAGATTTTTTCACATCCTTTAGAGAGAGGAGAGAAGACCCCACCTTTGAGACCCCTGTCTGTATGGAGAGTCTCACTACTTTCCTTCCATGGCCTTTTCTTTCACTTTCAAATAAACTTATTCTACTTACCTTTACAAAATAAAGGGAGAAGAGTGGTTTTTACTTATTTAATATTTTATGCCAGTGTTGGGGCTTGAACTCAGGCCTGGGTACAATGCCTGTTTTTTTTTTTTTGCCCAAGGCTAGTGCTCTTCCCCTTGAGCCACACATACATTTCTGGTTTTTCAGGTTATTAGTTGGAGACAAGAGTCTTAATGACTTTCAGGTTGGCTTCAAACTACGATCCTCAGATCTCAGCCTCCTGAGTGGCTAGGATTACAGGGGTGACCCATTGGCACCTGGCTAGAGAGAGGGTTTTTAGGTAGATATACCCTAGACAGTAAGAACAGTCCCACCCAAGTCTCTCTCTTCCTCCATTAGCTATGCAGCCTGGAACCTGATGCTTGACCTCTCTGGGATCCAGTGTCTCCTCCTGTGAAACTGGAGGCGATGACAACAGACCATAACAGGCCAGAGGATGACATGCCTGACTCATACTGGGGCTGACTGATACTCAACACAGGGCAGCTTATTCCCATTGACCTCTGTGCCCACGCCCCAAGAGCCTCCATGGTACAAGTAGAATAAACCTTCTTGGTCCTGCCCTTGTGCCTGCCCTGGCCCTCTGACCACTCAGTCTCAGCTCTCTGACCCCTTCAAGTCAAGTCCTTCTTGGAGATTAGAAGAACATGGATCCCTCTGAGTTACTCGCAAACCAGGGGTTATATAGCACCTGACAGCTGCACTGCTTCCTCTGTGGTTCTTTCTCTTTTTCTGTGTTAGTCGTGGGGCTTGCACTCAGGGCCTGGGCACTGTCCCTGAGCTTGTTTTCCCAAGGCTAGCACTCTACCACCTGAGCCACAGCTCCACTTCTGATTTTCTATTTTCTGGTGGTTAATTGGAAAATAGTCTCATGAACTTTCCCATTGGACTGGATTTCAATCATGATCCTCAGATCTCAGCCTCCTGAGTAACAAGGATTATAGACATGAGTCACCAGTGCCTGGCTCACTTCTTTCTTTGTATTTTCTATCGCTTTCCCCACTGAGAATGTAAACATCTTCATGAGAAGTCATTTCAGGAGACCCAACTCAATCCTCAAGGCCTAAAGAAGTGCGTATATACAGCTAGTGCTCCATAATGGCTCATTCTCCTGACTTTCCAGTTGTCAACTCTCTTGGCCTCACTTCCTCGAAGTGCTATCGTTAAGCCCACCACACCTCCCTTAGACAGCCACTGGCTGTGCTGCTACATCAGAGATGGTTTGGTGCTCTACCCCAAGGCTGCCTGGAGTTCCTCCTCTTGGCTTCCTCTGTCCCTGACATACCCCTGTGTTGGGCCTTGCCCAACTGGGAACTGTCTTTTGGATGTGTCCAGTTCTTCCTCTGGTCTAACAGGAAAAGGGCACACTGCGCCAGTCCTGTGGATGCAGCTCACTGGATGACCTCCTCTGTGCTCGGGGGCTGCCCCTAGCCTGGCTCGGGAGGCATGTTCATATGCACTGTTTGGAGGGAAAATGGGGAGCCCCAAGAAAGGGGAGCTGTGTGCCTGAAGTGGGTGCTGGAGATATCACTGGAATGCTTGCTGCAGTACCCACAGTCTCTGATACCTGGGGGCGGGGTGTGGCGAGAGTTTGCTAATGCCCCCACATCCCCTTGGCAAATGGTCTTAGTTTACCCTTGCACACAACTGCATGGAAGGCTCCTAGGCCACATGCTCTCCAGAAGGGCCTTACCCAGAATATGTGGGGAGTTTTCTGCCCCTTCCTTTAATGCAGGAATGAGGCCAGGCTCATTTGGGGCTATAGGAGCAATGGAGCCACTGCCTAGCACTCTGTCCATTGTTAGAGTGAAGGGCAGATACAGCAGGACAGGGTTACATCTGGGCTACTAGCAAGGCCTCCTGACCCCTGGCTGCCACTTTGCAAACCAAGGCCCAGGGCTCTTAGATGGAAGGCCATCTGGTCCCCACATGGTTCCTAGCAACCATCTATGCACATGGACGCTTTCTCAATCCAGATGACCTGGTACCCGCATCGTTCCTTGTAACCACCTGTGCACGTGGACGCTGTCTCAATCTGAATACCCTGGACCCAGCATCCTTCCTAGCACCCACCTGTGCACGTGGACACTGTCACCCAGAGGAAGTCCCACATTCAGTGGGCCAACAGGCCTACTTATTGAGCTGCCCAGTAAAAACACTGGTAAGAATCAGTTCCCCCTTGGGAGCTGCAGGAAAGATCCTCCATCCCCGGACCTCCCCAGCCCATCCAGCCCCTCCCAGGCCTCTACTCACCAAACTCCATTGCATTGTAATTGGTTAGGAACTCGGGCAGGTAAAAGAACTCGGGGGTCAGCTCCCTGACATCACCCATGTTCTCCCTAGAGGCCGACTCCCACGCACTCTTCACACTATGGAACATCCGGTCTGCCACATCGAAGCTTCCACCCTGGGGGAAGAGGGACCAACATGATGAGCGGCACACAGCTGCGTGCCCGGGATGCCAGGGCCCTCCGTATGGGCCTCCCTCTGACATCTGTCCCATCTCAGAGAGAGCGGTTCTGCCACTGGCACATCTCATTCACTCACCCAGCCCAGGTTCATCCATCAGCCCATGCATGTAAGGCTTCATTCTCTCAATCACTCTCTGGCACCCTCACCCTTGATTGAGGATGCAGAATCCATGCTATCCAAAAGGACCTTTATCCACAGCATGGAAATTAGAGTTCAGATCAGAGACCAGAAATAACAATGGTTTGATCATTCTCTAAGTCTGCTATAGGCTATCTTAATCAGGCACTTAGTAGCAAGGTCAGGAATAATTAAGCAGCATGGTATGGGTGGCTCATGCCTGTAATCCTAGCTATTCAGGAGGCTGAGAACTGAGGGCTGTGGTTGGAAGCCAGCCCAGGCCTAAAAGTTCATCAGACTCTTATCTCCAATTAAAACCAGCACAAGGCCGGAAGTAGAGCTGTGGCTTTCCACTGGTAGAGTACCAGCCTTGAGCAAAAAAGTTAAGGAAGTGCCCAAGGTCCAGAGTTCAAGCCCTAGTACACACACACAGAATGACTTTGTTCTAGCTCTGTCTGTGTATATGTATGTGTGTGTGCGCAAGTGTGTGTTGTGTGTACGTGTAGGTACCAGGGTTTGAACTCAGGGCCTCTTGTCCTTGTTTAGTTCTTTTGCTTAAGACTGGCATGTTCTATCACTTGAGCCACACTTCCTGTTCTGGCTCTTTATTTTTCCTTGTTAACTGGAGATCAAAATCTTGAGGATTTCCCTGCCATAGCTGGCTTCTAACTATAATGTTCTAGACGTGGCTCCTGAGAGGTTTGTTATAACCAAGAGATAAAAGCCAACTACAGAGCAAAGAAATGGATCAGCTCTTCTGCCTGGGAGTCTGTGAAAGTTTCCTGGGCGATCCAACCCCAGAGGTGAATCTGTAAACCAAACAACGGGGAAGCCAGCAGAGCAGTCTGAGCAGCGTGAGGCCTTGGCAAGGAGCAGGGGTACAGAGGAATTTGATAGGCCAGGGGGTCTCCTAGGAGGCCTTTTTTAGGGAGAGGAGAGAAAGGCGGGAAGGGGCATGGTGCAGTGGCCCCATTCCTTGACCAGAGAGCAAGTTTTAAGACCAACACCTGGAGGGGCACCAGCACTCAGGGGACAGACAGCAGCCCCAGGAAAATGGAATGCCTGTGGCACTTGCCTGGATTCTAAGGCATGTGGCCATGGGGCCCACATTCAGCATTCAGTCTCAGAACCCCTAAAACTCAGGTATATTTTCCTCAAATGCCCTCAGCCATTCATCTGAATTGTCAAATCACTTATTTCCAATTGCCAAACTGACCATTCTGATTCATTAGGTGGTTTTTGTGTGTTTTGTGGGGTTTTTAGGGTAGTGGTGGTAGAGGGGAGTAGAGACAGAGGAGGGTCTTTGAGCAGCCTCTGGTTGGAAGGACACAACACTGCAAGTAGGGCAGGAACTTCTGGAGAAAGATTTTCTAAAACTGGGCCTTTATTCTACTCAAGCTTAGAGATATCCAAAAAATGGTCACCTCCCTGGAATGCTATCATTTGTTAGTCCCCTACCAAGTCTAGACCTTTCTTTAATGGAAGAATTTGTCTTCCTTCTTCTGGAGAGCACATGTGTTCATAAGAGTGAAGGACAGGATCCAGACCCCCTTGCCTGCTTTCTCTTCTCAAAGTGTGCAGCCACAGCTACTGATGAAGACTGAGGATGGGAAAGAACCTTCTCTTGGCCTTTCTGTTCTGTTATACACTCTAGACACACCCGATCTCTCCCAATCCTTGCACCAGGTGAATTAGGAACAGTTTGTAACTGGGCCCCAGTGGCTCAGGCCTCTAATCCAAGCTACTTGGAAGGCTGAGATTAAGAGGATCACAGTTCCTAGCCAACCAACACCGAAAAGTCCATGAGACTCCATCCCATGGTGGCACATGACTGTCATCCTAACTGATGGGAAGCCTAAAACAGGTTTTTGCTAAGGCAGGCAGTAAGACTCTTATCTCCAAAATAGTGCTGGAGGTGGGTGTAGCTCAGCGTAGAGAGCCTGTCTAGCAAGAAGGCCCTGAGTTCAAATTCCAATAGTTCCAAAAGAAACAAAACAGGAAGGTGTTGGTATGTCCATTTCACAATAGAAAGCTGAGCCTACTCATGCTGCACTGTTTTTTCCAGAGGCTACCAAGCAGCGGATGGCACTGGGTGAGGCCAAACACACAGATGCAACTCCAAGGGGTGGGCTTAGCCCATGCCAGTTGCCTAGGGGCTGGCTGTCCTTGGACCTGGGGCAAACTTGGTCTAGAGTATCTGGGCTACGGGGCTCTCAGCTCTTTCTGAGAGGAAAGAATCTATCATGCAGCTGAGGGTCACATCTAGGCATCCAGGTGGGCATGGACTGGACAGCCAATTTTCTAAGCCAGACTTGAAGATCCAATGGATCTTTTACTGAGGGACAGAGATGCTAAGCGGGCCAGTTCCTCATAGGGTCTCGGTCAGACACAACACCTCATCCTGGAAGTGGCGTGGCTCTCAGCTGGGATGATGCCCACAGTCCAATTTGAATAGAAATAGAAAGAAAATAGTGGGAGCCTAAATAAATCTGAACCTAACAAGTCACTCATTGAAATGTATTAAGAGCTTTGTGTATTTTAATCTGCATCCCGAGCCCTACATCTGGGGAAGATTGATGTCTTCTCACCCTCCCACTTTTCCTCTGCAGCTTTTATGAGCACTGATGGTAATCTCCTGAGAAACAATATGATTTGGTAATAAAAAGATTACCTGTATTAAATAAAAATAATATATACATAGGAAATATTGTTAGCGCTACAAATTTGGTTAAAGATATTACCACCAAGAAAAATGTTATTTTTTTCACAGCTGTCTAATGTATTTTAGCAAAAGTAATATCTTTAAAACTTTTAAGCCTGTATTATTTATAAAAGAAGCAATAACTGATTTTCCTATTTCCTATATTAATAAATGTATTTGCATACATTTGTTTCAAAATTAATGGGTTTTTCTCACTTCTCCAATACAAAAGAAAACACCAAATTCCCTAGAAGAAAAAGTAGAGCTGCTTTGTTATTTGTATTGTAAGTTTGTAGGTTGACATCAACTCTAGTGGCTGATAGGAGTGAGTCCCAGCTATGACTTGATTCTCAAGGATGGAAGGAGGGAGGGAAGAAGGAAGGAAGGAAGGAACGACAGAAGGAAGGAAGCAAGGAAGCAAGCAAGCAAGGGGAGGGAAGACAAAAGAAAGAAAGAGACACACAGACCTCAGAATGCCTAAGTACCAAAGTCCAAACACAAATGAAAAAAAAAAAAACAACAATATTAAGCCTGGAAGATTAAAGGAACAAAGAAACAAGAGAAAATTCCTGAACCAAGATGTGTTCTTTTTTTTTTTTTTTTTTTTTAAACTGAGAACCTCTTTGTTTTATTTATTTTATTTTTTGCAATCCTGGGTCTTGAACTCAAGTGTCTTAAGCACTGTTCCTGAGGTTCTTTTTTTTTTTTTTTTTTTTTGGGTCCGGTCATGGGGCCTGAACTCTGGACCTGGGCGCTGTCCCTCAGCTCTTCAGCTCAAGGCTAGCGCTTTACCACTTGAGCCACAGCACCACTTCCAGCTTTTTTCTTTTTGCTTATGTGGTGCTGAGGAATCGAACCCAGGGCCTCGAGCATGCAAGGCAAGCGCTCTACCACTGAGCCACCTTCCCAGCCCCCCAAGATGTGTTCTTATATCAGACCTTTGGATCTTCGTGAATAGCAAGAAAAGTAAATACTATGTGTATCCAAATGGAGAGTTAAAAATAATAGCAAGGTCACTCTCATCAACAACAGAACAACATGCGACGGGCAGAAATTTCTCCCATGTGACATTCACGCTAAAAGACAATGGAACCAAGCCAGAGCCTGAGAGCCTTTGGCTTTTTGCCCAGTTAAGCCATCTCTCATATGTATAGATGCCAGAAGCCTATTTTCAATGTTTGAAGCATCAGAAATAATGTATTCTAAGGCATCTTTCCCCAGTTAAAAATCCGTTAAGAGATGTTCAGTCTTGCTAATCGAATTCAGAGCATTAGAGCGAGGGAAGAGGCTGAGCAGGACAGCTGGACACTGACACGAAGTCAGGATATGTCAGTGATCATGCTCGATCACTGTAACCTGATACACTTTAAAAGGGGTGTTCCATACCATTGTCCCTGGGTAAGCACTTCATCTCTACATTGTTATACCCCGCTTGGACAACATGGGCAGGGAAAATCTGTGAGGAAAAAAAGCATTCAAATCTTAACTTTACCCACTCTCAGAGGAAATTTAGATAGAGTATATGTTCAAGGACACCTGGAAGAGGTGAGGGAGGGAGAGAGAGTGTACGCTTAGGCTTGAATTTAGGGCCTGGGCACTGTTTCTGAGATTTTTAATTTTTTTTGCTCAAGGCTAGTGCTTGGCCATTTGAGCCACAGCTCTACTTCCAGATTTTTGGTGGTTAGCTGGAGTTCACTTACAGAATCTGTCTGTCTACCATCTGTCCACCTAAGAGGCAGTGTATCATGCAGAGAACACTTTAGTTCTGGAACTAAGCTAACTAGAGTGGAGTGGACATTTTGGTCACCATTTTCTTGTAGGATGAGCAGGAGTGCGTTCCTGCATCTCTATCTTTTCTTTCTTTCCTTCCTTGTTTCTTTCTTCCTTCCTTCCTTTCTTTCTTTTTCATCTCCTTCTTTCCTTCCTTCTTTCCTTCCTTCCTTCCTTTCTTCCTTCTTTCCTTTTTTTTTTGGGGGGGGGGGCAGTGCCAGTCCTGGGGCTATGTCCCTGAGCCTTGTTTTTATTTTTTGTTTTGTTTTTTATTTGGCTCAAGGCTGGCACTCTACCATTTGAAACACAGCTCCACTTCCAGCTTTTCTGGTAGTTAATTGAAAATA